TATGACAAGAAAAGGGGTCTCTAAGAAGTAGAGAGAAGAAAGAGAGGCAAAGAAGGGGCTAGTTGGGGCTAGTTGCTGTGTCTGTAAATGGTGCTGAAGACAGAAGGACTTGGGAAAGGGAGAAAAAGAAAACCCATTTCCAAATCTACTGCTTGAAAATTCCCTGTATTTAACCAAACTTCCTTTTCTGTTCCAATTCACTCAGCCTCTATTTCACGTATGCTACAACCAAGAAAGCCCTATTACACGGGAGGCATATTTTAGGAGAAACACGGAGTGATACAAGGCTAGAATAATGGGGGCTTGATGTTGGACAAGGCCAGGCTCTAAGTAAGGAAACTTGGGCGTCTTGTGATGGATGGAAGACACTATGAAATGCAGCAACGATTATGTAGGTGACAGGGTTATTATTACAAATTTATTACTCCTCTGCCTTTATAACATTATTTAGTAAATTTTAATTTCCTAGGCCATAAATCATAAATACAACAAATTATTCTTAATTCTAATATTTATGTACTAATGTGTGTGTAAATATTAACATGTGCATACATGTATTGTGTGCATTCTTTTAGGCTGTTTCTTGACTTCTTGCGGCAAACATCCTGTGATAAAGACACGACTATACCTAAGTTGAGCACAGCTCCAGGCTTTTGGCAAACCTCTAAGAACTGAGGTTGTTTCCAAGTCACCCACATTGCAGCAACGGATCACCATGGAGTTTGCAGTGGGGAGAATCTTAAGACAACCTCAAGACATTTTTGGAGGTCAAATATGATACACTACTTCTTAAAGAATCAAAGGGATTTTTTCCACTCCTTCATAAGGTTCCAGGTATAAGAACTTTTACCATTCTACTCTTAGTATATTCTGGATATCAGATGCAACCAGCAAACTGTCTAATACAAAAAAAAAAAAAAAAAAAAAAAAAAAAAAAAAAAAAAAAAAAAAAAAAAAAAAAAAAAAAAAAAAAAAAAAAAAAACCACTTCAATTCCTCAAACTCCAAAAGGCAGTACAAATATCCATAAATGAGTTCAATCTGGACTATATAAAGATTTCTGGTAGTTGGCTAAAAAGGCAGTCAAAAAGAGCCAATTTCCCTTACCTCTGGCAGAAGGCCTATCAGTGTATCACAGTGCATGCTGGGGTCACAAGTACCCTGTTAGCATCCTGGCTCCTTACCTCCTCTCCTACCCTCAACTCCCTCCAGCTCCTGGGCTTCCCTCCCCACAGCACTCACTCTTCTCATAGCCCTGCTATGCCTGCTGTGTGCTGCCCCACCTCCGCTCCTGCTTCTCTCGCTGTCCTTTCTCTATTCCCTCCCTTCTGTTATTCTCCCCCTTTCTCCCAAATAACCCAGGCCACATCCAGATTGCTGGCCAGGCTGTCTACTGCTCTTGACTCTTCCAGATGCCTCTGACTGTTCTTTCTCTCATATCTACAATTAAAAAACCTTTCCCTAACCATACTATGAATCGGTCATGTCATCATTTTATGCATCAGTTGCCCAACGGGGCACACAGAGACCCCTTTCCAAGGTGCCTAGCCTCTCCGAATCAAGCTGCTGACTTGACTCTGCTAAGGTATGGAAAATTTGGTTCTTCTGGCTCCTAATGCCCAGCATCCCTCTTCAGCTGCTTCTTCTCTCTGCCTGCTCTCTCCTTAGAGCTACCTACTCTATCTATCCTGTCAGTTCCTAGAGACTACTAGTGTCACAAAAGTCATGCTAATGTGTCAGGCAGCTTCTCTCTCCCTGTTGGGAATCTCAACCCATGCAAAGGGATGCCTCTTCTCTGTGATTTTGGACGTTTTTCCCTGGAAAGGCTCTCAGTCCACTTGGGGATGCCCTCGATTGAAATTCTTGTCACCTTCTCTCTCCCATCCTTCCTCTCCCGACATGGTCTCAGCTCCCTCCTGGAGCTTGCTCTGTCTCTCTTGTCCATCTCCATGCTCTAATCCTAGCTCCCTCCTTGCTAGCTCTGTCTCTCAACTCCATCCTGAAGCTAACTCTGTCTCTAACCATGGCTAACTATTTGTCTCTCCTCATCTCCCCATGGATCTTCCTACTTTTTCTCTGTCCTTCTCATTGGCTCCCTGGGGGCTACTGTTGGAGACCTGCAAGGTACAGCAGGCATATTTCCATGCTCTCCTGGGCCTCTAAGATAACGGAATCTTCCCACTGGTGGAGTTTCCTTAAGCCTTTCCTACCTGCTCTTCATTGTGTTTCTAAAGAATCTCCTCTCTCTCTCTCTCTCTCTCTCTCTCTCTCTCTCTCTCTCTCTCTGCTCTTCCCATTCAGAATGCTGCTCCCTCCCCTTCACCTCTTCTCTCATCTCTTTTCTTCCACAGACTCAGAGATCCCATTAAACTTCATCATCTCACTGCAAATGGATTGGCTTCAGTACATCTCGATGGCTAAACGTGGCACACTAGATTTCCAAATTTTCACACATTGTAACAACTTCTGCCACTGCACAAACAAACGATCTCCAAATCTCTTATCCATAAAATTTCTCTGCTCTCCACTCTCAAAAAAAAAAAAAAAATAAAACTCTTAGTTCTAAGCCTTCTTTGCTCCCTGCTCTTATCTCTGAGCCTTCTTTGCTCTGTCTTCTCTAGTCTTTCCCTCTGATGACTAAATTCAGTTTTACAGAGAATCAAATGCCTTGTGTGTATGGATAATATTTAAATATTGTCAGATGCTATTCTGCTTTATTTAAAAAAAAAGTTCAGTTCCGGAGTTCAGTTATGGCCTTCCTCTCCAGGTGTAAGAATGGTTGTTTAAAAGTTTCCTACAAAATCTCTGTCTTGGGTCAGGTAGGGTCACTTGCCTTTGTGACCTGAAGAAGGGCAGCAAAATAGAATAACACAGGAAAAGACACTCTGTGCTCTAAAACAGCCGAAACATAAGCTGTTCCCAGTACAGCTCATTGTTCCTTTACTCACACTCCCCTTCTCGAAACTTCCTGTATCTCAGAATTTGTAAATTCACTGGGTGTCTTAAAAAAAAAAAAAAAACAACTTGTAAAATCTGTAACAAAAAGTTAACTTAAAATTTAAAAATCTATAGCACACTTACAGCACAGAAAGTCCGACAAGCCATAGACCAGCGATGACCTGTGAAGGGAGTCCTGACATCACTCACCTCTGGCCCTGCCCACCTGTTCCAGGCAGGAGTCTTGGTTTAGATACAGAAGACCCCTGCCCAGAACCTGGGATCTGTCTGGAAGGGAACTCTGTCTAGTCCTCTTCAGCACCCCAGCTGCTGTCAGAGTACCTGGTGTGGTCCCCGAGAAAGGCCATCGAGGCTGACAACAGGTGGACTGTCAGTCAGAACTTGAGCCCCTCAAAGATAAGTTTGCTAACCGAGGATACATAGTCCAAGCCTGGACTTAGAATCTAGAGAAACTAGGGATGGGAAACCTTCATGCAGACATCTGCTCTCGTATGTCCCTTCCCGGGGTAGATCAGTGTGGTCTAGGGCAGAGAGAGGAGACAGTAGATCAGGTTGTCAAAAAGCAACTAGAAAAAAGCCTTCGCAGATTCTAATTTTAGGCACGCCCTGCCAAGGACAAGGTATCTGCCTGTTATACAAAGTCCATGCTAGCATCCTAGCCCCTCTCATCTTCTCCCCTACCCTAAACTCCCTCCAGCTCACAGGCCTCCCTCCCTGATGATCCTGCTGCTCTTTCAATGTTCTGTTCCTGCTTCTCCCACTGGGTTTTCTCTATTCTCTATCTTCTGCTGTTCACGCCTGTCTCACAAGGAGCCCAGGGCACGTCCTGTCTACTGGCTATGTTCAGTCTACTTCTTTCTCTGTACACCCCAGACCTCTGTCTCTCTCTCTCTCTCTCTCTCTCTCTCTCTCTCTCTCTCTCTCGGATCTATAGTAAAAAAAAAAACTTTCCCTTACCACAAACTGCTTGTGCCTTGGCGTTTGGTCAGCACTGCCACCAACTAGCTGTACTATCTTTGCGGTGTTAAAGCTCTCTGAACTTCATTTCCACTTGTAAAAGCAAGCCGAGGCTGGGCACAAGTTGTCTTCCTCCCTTCTCCGCTGCCGTGGAAACCGATTTCAGATCATTGTACTCCGGAGGTTTTAGGGGGCCCAATAAGACAATTTGTCTAAACTCAGAACAGGGTGAGCGCCCCCCCCCCCCCGTCCCAGGTAGAATCCCTTTGATTGGCCATTATCAAGTTAGCTCCACTGAGCCCCTAGGGGACTCTTCTGAGGGTTCTTATTTCCGCAGACACGGGGCTGAGACTCAGAGCCCAAGGGTTACCGGGACAAACTTGCCCGTGGAGCGCAAGCAAAATGCAAGCGAGAGAAGAAACAGGGCAAAACAACAACATAAAAATAGCCAGTAATCCAGTCACCCACAGTTTCACACGCGAATTCCCGGAAGGGAAGAAAATTGGTTTGCTTGTTTTTTCCGTGTTGTCACAAGAACGTAAACAAATCTTCAGAGTCGTATTAGGTTTATTAATCCAAAGTAACTTTCTTAAAGTTACTTTCTTAAAGTTACTTTCAGAAATGGTGCCTTCTGACTCCCGGGTTGTAACCACAGCCCAGAGTCGACTCACTTTCCCGTTTGAACCAATTGTCAGAAGTGCCAAGTCCGCTCGTGCCACACTGGCTCGGAGGGAACCCCTCTCCTGCCACAAAATGGATCTCTGCCTGGGCATATCTCTCGGCCCGAGTCCCTCTCCAGTCATGCCAAAGCCATTGAAGACTCGGCCAGCACCAAGCTCTGGTCGTACCCCACCCATACTCTTCCCAGAAAAAAAAAAAAAAAAAAAAAAAAAAACGCTCGAGCTGCAGGGTCTTGAGCCCAGGATTCAGCCCTGAGCACTGAGCCAAGAAAGAAAGCAGCTCCCCCGCCTTTCTGAACATCTGGACGGAACGGGGTGGCCATCATGCCATGCTAGCCCCATCTGGATTTCGGCGCAGTGGTCCACAATGGGCAGCGTCCCACATCCCAAGCGTCCCGAAGCTTACCAGAGAGAGGACAACCCAGATCCATAGCATTTCTGTGCCTGTGAGGGAAAGCCAGCCTAAGTCTCCACCTCTCAGCAGACTTGAGTCACTTACGCCGGCAGTCCCCACCCCCTCTGCTCTAGACGGCCTCTGGGACTGTACTTTGCCTGGGCCCCGCCCCTGGCGTGCCTGAATGTAGTTCTCAAACTGCTTCCCTGAGCTCTCCGCAGAAAACCGCTTTGAGCACCTGTCTGTCAGTTTTCTGAGGGACCAGACACAACCTATGTAAAGCCCCTGAGTTTGGAAGGAAGTCTTCTGGGGTCGGGGAAAATCCACTGATTCATCGACTCACTGGGGCGGGGAGGGAGTGAGGAGTAGTCAGAGAAGGGGTTGATTGCACAACCGGGCATTCCCCCATCCTGGGTGCTTCCACAGGCACGGCCTCAGTTCAAGTGAGAGCCTTTTGCTCCTTTTGCCGTTGAACCCTGGAAAGAACTCCTGAGGGAATTGGACCTTGAATAACTGCTGGAGACAAAGACCAAACTGCTCTCCCTCAGCCTTCAGTACTTTGTCAGTGACTGGACTGTTGAGGCTCCTGGACCAGTTGAAGAGTGGAGAGAATGGTAATAACCATAGCAGAGGTGCAGACACTGGAATCCTGATGAGGCAGGGTCCTTCCACGGAGTCCATGATTAGTCCCTGGAGTGACAATCACCACATAGAAGGTAGAGATACTGGGCTGTGGGATCATGAGGGAAAGCCCACCTTGGTTGCATTTCCCAAGTGGAGAACAAACCTAGATGACTGATGGTCAACCACACAGCTGTGATTAAGACAAATGATAACCAAACTAGAAGCCGTAGAGCCGCAGAGGTTAGGTATAGAGTGAGGGACTAGAGGCCAGGGGAGGAAGGATAGATCTTATCAGGAAAGAGAAATAGAACAGATAATTATGGCTGGGCGGAGAGGGATCAAGTTGGGAGGGGAGAGAAGGAGAATTGAGGAAATAGAGAGGGAGACAGCTAAAATTAACTGCTATTTGGGAAGTGATATGAAAACTGGTAACAGGAAGCATCCTAACATATATATGCATATATAGATATAGCTATATAGACATACAAAATGGTGTTCTGCCTGCAAGATATACTAGTGGCACAAAGTTTGTGAGATTAGCTAACCACTACCTGATTTGACTTTCGGCCCCTTCCACAAAATGAAACACATATCTGACACTGCTTGGGCGACCAAGAGTCAGAGGCTAAGACAGCCCAAGGACCTAGGGCAAAACCAAATACACAAATACACTGCTCTAAAGGAAGAAAGAAACGCTTCAATAAAATGACTCCTACCGCTATTCTGCTACACTCGTAGATCAGGGCCTTACTCAGTCATCATCAGAGAAGCTTCCTCCTGCAGCAGATGGGAGCAAATGCAGAGCCCCACAGCCACAAGTGAGAGACCCAGGAACACTCAGCTCTACATGAGCCGTCTCCACCAAGTCCCTCTCCTCAGAGCGCAGTGAACCCGGTGGAAGGGGAGGAAGAAGAGCCAGAAGGGATGGAGGACACAAAGAAAAGAAGATTCTCTTAAGTCAACATGAGCAAAGCTCATATGCGCTCAGAGACGGAGGCCACATGCTCAGGGCCTGCTCGGGTGTGCACCAGGTCCTCTCTCTCTCTCTCTCTCTCTCTCTCTCTCTCTCTCTCTCTATATATATATATATATATATCGGCTTCCAGTTTATTATCTGTATGGGTTTCCTGAATGTGCAAATGACTTGGGCCTTTTCATGGGGATTCTCTTAGGCCTTTTTTCCTTCTGTTTGATTGTTTTGTTCAATTTCAGTGTGTTAGGTTTTGTTTTATCTTGTATTTCATTTTCTTATTATCCATTAGAGCTCTGTTTGTTTTCTAATGATAGAAAGGGAGTGTCTGAATGGAAGGGGAGTTGGGGAGCAACTGAGGGAGAAGGAGACAAGGACTGGGGGGAGGGGATGGGCTGTAACCAGGATTAAGAGGGAAAAAAACCTCACACAGCTGGCTGCAGTACACATTGCTATTACTTCCTCATTTTGTCATTGATTATTTCCTGGCCAATTTTCTTTGAAAAAAATAATCCATTCTTGTCATTATTGTTCTAGTTAATTAACACAGCTCAAAGTCACTATTATTTTGGAAACGTAGATAGCACTTTAGTGTTGTGTGAATGTTCTAGAACAGTAGTTCTCAACCTTCCTAATGCTGCTTGACCCTTTAATATAGTTCCTCACCTTGTGGTGACCTTCCAATCATCAAATTATTTCACTGCTACTTCATAACTGTAATTTTGCTACTGTTACTTATTGTAATGTAAATACCTGATATGCAGGATATCTGCTATGTGACCCCACGGGGTCTCGGCCCACAGTTATAAAGTAAGTTTGTTCAAGGGTAGTACGCAAAGGTCCTGGTCAGGAAGTGGTTCCTGGACCCCACTTCTGCTGGTCAGAATGTTTGCAAAAATCCCCTGAGTGCTCACCTCATTTCCACCTCTTCTCTAAAGGATTCATTTAATTAAGAACACACACACACACACAAATGCACACGCACACACACATATACACGCACACGCAGACACACATGCATGTACGTACGCATGCACACACACACACACACACACACACACACGCATGCACACATGCATACATTGAGAAAAGGTGGGGAAAAACATCCTGTGGCATTTTCTTCTTAATTTGTTTTAGTCCTCTGAATCTGGGTTGTCACCCTCCTTCCTGTCTGTGTTTTTTCATTCTGTTTAGCAGGTGTCTCAGCATTCATACCCACACCCTACCCCTCCTCCCCCATCTTGCATCATCTTCCTGGAGGTTATCAGTGCCCTGAAGATGCCTTAGGCTGTGCCTGCCTACCACTATTCTGAAAATGGAAGGAAGGAGAGAGCATTTGAAATAAAGCATTCCCTGCAAAAACAAATGGGAGAGAGGAAAGAAGGGGAAGGGGAGAGGAAGGAGGAGAAGTAGAGGGGGTAACAGGGACGGGGTGGGTGGGGGTACGGCATGCTTCGTAAAATGGCACTTGATAAAACCAACAGCCCTTGAGTATCAGTCAGCAACTTTCACTTTCGATTCAGTTTTTCTTAATACTTTACAGCTGGGCAGGGTGAGCAATTATAGAATTACTTTAAAGGTGCTGGCCAGGAAGGGCAGACAACCTGAGGTTTATCCTCAGAACCCACACCTGAAGGTGAAAACTAACTCTCAAAAAGGGTGTCATCAGACCTCCACATGTGGGAACCCTAACACTCAGATCATGCAAACACACAAAATAATAGTAAGGTAAAAAGGTGTTTAGAGTTTCTTAATCTGTGATTTCTCATAGTCTTTAATATGTTAATATATATCGTCATTGTCTAAGGAGTGATCATACCTGCTGTGCCCCAAGTTCTTTGTTATGGAACTTTTGAGGAGTATATATTGAATGAGTAACTCTTGAACATTGATGTTCTGAGTAGAGTACTTTGGATATTTGCCCTGGTTAGTTTTTGTCAATTTGACACAAATAGAGTAACCTGGGAAGAGAGAGTCTCCTTTGAGGAACTGTTTCCATTAGATAGCCTGTGGGCGTGTCTGTGGGAGCACCTTCTTCATTGCTGACTGACATGGAGGGCCCAGCCCACTGTGGGCAGTGCCACACCTAGGCAGATGGCTCTGAGTTGTATAAGAAAGCAAACTAAGAAAGCCAGTAAGTAGTGCTCTTTCCTGGCCTCCCAGGTTCTTGAACCGACTTTCCCCACCGATGGATTGTGATTTGTGAGTGTAATATGTAATATGAAGTAAACCCTATTCTCCCTAAATTGCTGTTGATCAACGTTTTATTTCAGCAACCGAAAGCAAGCTAAGACAGTCTTTCTAAAGGTTATTTCTATTCTGCCAGTACATTTTGGAGAGTCACCATGCCTTCAAGTGAAAAAAAAAGGAATAAATAAATGATTTATGTGTATACAAATGTTACCCATGCATGTCACAGTGTCCTCTTTTACTCTCTGCCTTATTCCCCGAGACAGGTTGTCTCATTGATCCCGGAGCTTGATGTTCTTTCACCTAGCCTGACTGGAGGCTCAGAAAACCCAAGAAATCTTATTTCTGTCCTCACCTCACCAAATCTCGAGTTACAGGAGAATGTCTATACCTGACTTTTCTGTTTAGATGCTGGCGATCTAAACTCAGGGATTCATGCTTGCATCGCAAGCAATCTTACCCACTGAACTTTGTCCACACCTCTAACAAATGCACTCTGTAATATGGTTTCAGGCACTCCAGTAGATGTGGGGAGCGTTTTGTACACTCATACTGTCTTACTTGAACCATGCCATGCAAGTTAAAGTACATTTTTACTGTAAGAATAACTGCTTCTAAATATTTTACATATCACTCACATATACGTCTGCCTCCATAAAAAACTTAATAGATAAAAACCCATCAGCTTTTACTGTGGGCAATATTTTTGTTCTCTCTTCAATGGAGAAAGTTTTAAAATCTTGTTGTTAGCCAAACTGCTTTGACTAAATAGCAATACATTGATTTAATAGTTTCCAACCACAGTAAACATCCTTGCCTATTTTTTTTTCTTTTTTCACCCTACATCTCTTCTCCTCATTCCTAGTAACAGGATTTCCAAGGTGGTTCTGGAAAAGCTGCCCATCTCCTCTCTCTATGACTATCTAATAGGAGTGGCTGTTTCAGTCAGAGTCAGTGCTTTCCAGGGAGTGAGAAACAGAATCAACAGAATAGAGAATGGATGCATGGATGCCTGGGTGCATGGATGGATGGATGCATGCATGGATGGATGCATGAATGCATGGATAGGTGAATAGACAGGTGATAAACGAATGATAGATCTTTAGTAATTGGTTCACATGATTGCAGGATCTGGTATGTCTGGAGTCTATAGTGTATGTCAGCCAGATTGAGACCCATGAAAGAGTTGTAGTTCAAATCCAAAGCCAGCCTGCTGGTGGGCTTCCCACTTTTTCAAACATGATCAATCTTTTTCATAAAACATTGAGCTTCTTGGCTAAGGCCTAGGCACATTGTGAAGGGCTATAATTTTATTTTTAAAAAACCTATAGATTTTGATTTGAATTTCATCCAAAATAGAGTGTCTCAAAACATAAATATTATTTGACTAAATATATGGGTACCACAGTCTGGTCAGCAGGACAAAAAATATCAACCATCAAAGAAGAGCT